GACGAGTGAGCAGCATCAATGACTGAGTTCTTGGAAGTTTTCCTGAAAGCTGGACTAGACGACATCAACTGTTTGCATCCGAATGCTCATCCTTGAATGTGGCGAGAATTTACCATCAGCACTGCTTTCTACTTTGAATAAATGGTCAAATTTGGCATACAGTCATTTCGAAAGGAAGAGTGTGAATTGCACGAAGCTGAGATTTGATGCTATCTGCCTATGCTTCCTACACTTCCTGCGGTGCGGGCCGGCCGGCTGTCAGCCTTCATGCCGGAGAAATGCACACTAACAGACTCGTCGATGGGCTCCGCTTGTGCACAGACACAGACACACATGTCTGGCTGTGTGTGTGCCACGAGTGTGTCCGACTGGCCATGCTAACCGGTTAAGCGTGAACTGGTGTCGGTGCACTTGCGAGTGTGTCAGTGAGAGTGTCAGTGTGAGCCCCTTCAACCGACCGGCGCGGCAGCGATCGCGTGTGGCTGTACCCGACCATGAAGGGCCTGTGTGAAATTAAGCATCCACACGAGGCTAGCCTGTGCATGTAAACTCCCAGGTGTCAGTATTTCACACTTCTTCTCTGGAAGCGTATTTTATCAAGACCTGGTGCCTATTTAATCTTGTCTTGGCCATCCATCCATTCATATATAAATATATAAATATATATATATATATATCCGTCAATCTATCTATACATTTATTCAACCATCATTTTAGGGCCATCCAGACATCCGACTCTTCACTCGTCTGTCTAACATCATACATCCGTTTAAGATCACCTGTTTATTCATCCATCCATCCATCCATATATATATCCGTCAATGTATCTAACCATTTATTAACCATCATTTTAGGGTCATCCAGATATCCGCCTCTTCACCCGTCCGTCCAAGATCATACATCCGTTTAAGATCACCTGTTCATTCATCCATCCATCCATACATCCATATATATATATATATATATCCGTCAATCTATTTCTACATTTATTCAACCATCATTTTAGAGCCATCCAGACATCCGCTTCTTCGCTCGTCAGTCTGGAATCATACATCCGTTTAAGATCACTTTTTCATTCATCCATCTATTCACCCATCAATCCAAATATATATATATATATCCATCAATCTATCTATACATTTATTAATACATCATTTTAGGGTCATCCAGACATCCGCCTCTTCACCTGTCCGTCCAAGATCATACATCCATTTAATATCACCCGTTCATTCATCTATACATCCATCCATCCATCCATATATAAATATATATATATCCGTAAATCTGTCTATACATTCATTTACCAATCATTTAGAGCCATCCAGACATCCGCCTCTTCACCCGTCCGTCTAAGATCATAATCCGTTTAAGATCACCTGTTCATTCATCCATCCTTTCATCCATACATCCATATATATATATATATATATACGTTAATCTATCTATAACCATTATTTTTGGGTCATCCAGACATCGGCCTTTTCACTCGTCCGTCTAAGATGTTACATCGGTTCAAGATCACCTATTCATTCATCCATGCGTTGCTCGATCGAGGGTGAAACGCATGGATGGGCTGCTGTTAAGACGATTCCGTGAAAGGATTGCGTCAGTCCGGTGGCAGCTGCGTGTGTTTGTGCTCAACGGCGTATGAATTGTGTAACCGGCCGTGGTCGCTTGGTTGGCAATGTCAGGTCTGCTTAACAAGACTGACTGGCAGGCGACTGCAATCGGGTCAGGCGAGGGTGGGGCTGTCGGTGGGCGAGAGAGAGAGAGAGGAGTGCATGCAGGGAAGATTTAATCAAAATGGCTCTCATGTTGCTTTTCCCCTCTACACCTCCTTATCGCACACAATCCCGCGGCCCCACCACCCGCAGCCCCGTTTTTCACACAACGTACAGCAAAATGGTATTTCAGGTTGGCTCCAGATGCTTTCAATTGGGCCGTGGAGGCTGACATTTGCCGGGCTCCAAAGACTTTGTGTGTCTGTCTGTCTGTGTGTCTGTTTGGCGATGGTTCTGCTGCTTTGCTGCCAGTCTGAGGCGTGACTCGAACCCGGGCACCAAGGCGAGCAAGTCCAATTTGACGCCGTAATGATGCTTGTGTTGTCTGGTGTCTTGATGCCTGTTTGATAGAATCCTGCACTGTCGCGGTTCGACTCCCGCTGAGAGTGTTTTATAAGACCGCTTCAGCCGGATTGAGAATAACTTTTTGGAGAACAAGACTCTGTCAAAGTGAATGGAAACGTCAGCTCTACTCATATGATTGTGGGAAAATTCTGCATCTACCAGTCCTTCATCAGCTTAAACGAAATTAGGTGAATACATCTCATACTACTGATTTACTGATAGTCTCGAGATACTACTTAAATGCGAAAAATAAAATAACGTAGTCGATTGTTATAGCAAATATAGATTGTGGGATGAGAACAACTTTTGGGAAAGCAAAGATATGTGAAATTGAATGGAAACGTCAGCTTAACTCATATCATTGTGGTAAAATTGTTCTTCTACCAGTCCTTTATTACCCTAAACGAAATTGGGTGAATACATATCATACTACTGATTTACTAGTAGTCACGAAAGCAATACTTTAAATTCATTCATGTTCGTATACAATTTGACAACTTTGAGGAAAAAACGATATGTTTTTAAGATAGCTTGTGTAACTTAGGGCTACCTAACCAAAAGATGAACATTTCTGGAGCCCATCTGGGTCCAAATTTTAAGCTTTATCTAATACATTAAAGCATAATGTTCATTCTATAAGAATCAGATTCAAAGGACAAAAACGACGCCAATCGAATCATCAAGCTCAACTCATATGATTGTTGGAAAATTCTTCTTCTACCAGTCTTTCATCACCTTACACGAAATTGCAAGAATACGTCTCATACTACTGATTTACTGGTAGTCACGAAAACAATACTTAATTCGAAAAATAAAGCAATATTGTCGCCATGGCCAGAATTTCCAGTCCGGGTAGGTAGCATTTCGAGGGGAGGCGTGTGATGAAGAGATTCGAAGGAGCATCCCACCGTATCGACGCTGTTTCCAAGGCAGTCTTCTTTGACGATATGAATAGAAACTGAGTTTTGACGGACTATTCTGTAATTTATTGTGACATGACTTTCCATTTCGAAGGATAAGTTGGTTGAAGGGAATTCGTGCAATTGTCGTACCGGAAACCGAAGCAGGATTGACTGGAATGCATTGAGGACTGACAAATTGTGCACACAAGTCATCGGTTCACCGTCTGCGCTAATCTTTCGTCTGTACCATCACGACGGGAATGGTCAGTGCAAGAATGCATAATTTACGAAATAATAAATAAAAAGTATACCCTTTCCCTTGGTTTCGTGTATTTATTCGCTATTTTACACAATCTGCCAGTCTTCACGCTACTCCAGTCGGTTCTGCTTCGGTTTCCGGAAAGATCATTCTACAAATTGCCTCCAACCAAGTTTTTCTTCGAAACAGAAAGTTATGCCACAACAATCAACAGCAACAACAACAAAAATCCCAGTCAATTCAATCGACACTTGGTCAAGAATGGTTCGCCGATGGTCATCTTCTGGTGGGATCCACCTTTAAATCTCTGCCAAACCTTTTCCTTCGAAATGGAAATGAAAGTTGACTAAAATGACAAATAAATTTTTCATATAAAATGTATTCATCCCATTTCGTTGAGTGTGTTAACGGGACTGATGCTTACATTTTCCCACAATCATGTGAGTAGACATGTCTCCAGTGAATTTCACACAGTTTTGCTTTCCCAAAAGGCATTCCCATCGCGACTTGTGTAGACTGCAGTCTCGACCTCAGCACCACAAGCCGGACTCGAACCATGAGACTGTAGCGTACAACCTCGACACGTTAGCTACTACGCAACACACCGACAAGTGTCCTTTGGTTATGGGGCAGGGGTGACTTTGTAGCAAGGCCTAGCATTTCCCCACGCCATATTTCGTTGTAGGATTGTCGATGAAGCTATGTTGTATTTGCCATAATAATCGAACACGTTACTTATATTTCGTTAGTAAGTAGCTTTTCGAAATTGTCAGTAAATCAGATTTATGGAATGTATTCATATTATTTCGGTTTGGTGATGAAAGACTGGTTGTTGAATTTTCCCATAATCCTCACATGCGGGATCTACAGGCAGTCTGGAGAATCTAGTTGAACACGAATAATGGTTGGCCGGTGGGAGAATTTTCCCATTGGATTGGGCAAGTTGCTAGGCCAACAGTAGATCGTAAATAGAGAAAACCCAAAGTTGCAACCGAAGATGAACAAATGGCAGTTGAATAATGCCAGTACTCTGTTTGTTTGGCCTCAATTTGGCTTAATTTCATCGCTCAAATGGTATTTAATCAAACTTTTCCACATCCGTCTACACTCGCAGTGAATATATAATTAATTAGGATTGACTGGGATTGCATTATCCCGAACTTATGCCCTGTTGAGTTTTCTTGACTCGTTAGCTTCAATTTTGTGTGACGATGATACTTCGCTCTGATGATGTTCGTCACATGACGCACGAAAGCTTAACACCTTTTCACTGGAATCGAGCAGATTGTCTCGGAAACAGCGTCAACAAGAATGATCCAGTAAAGACAATCGACAGCTGGTCAACAGGAACCGACCTTCAAATCTCTTCACCGCACACTTTCACTCGAAATGGAAATAAGCTCAAGAATTATGAAAGAAAAGATTCCTCGAAACCCAACTTTGCTTCGAATTCATTTCATCTCTCAAATGGTATTCACCGCTCAGCTCGACTAGATTGGATTGCAGCTTCGACCTTGTCTCAGAACAGTTTCGGCATTGGAAGGCAGTTCAAAGGAAGATTGAATGACGACGTGAGGTGCACTCGTTTGATTGAAAGAAAATACTACTTTAACTCGAAAGTAGTCTCGAATGAAAAGGGTGAATATAAGACAATTATCTTTTATCATCGTCATCCTATTTCGCTTTGAGTAGGTTTTCGTGACTCGTATCTTTCTTCTTGTTTATTTGCATCTCATCACATGTTATCCCTTCCCTTTTCTGCCCATCCATTTTCTTTTCTTTTCTTTTCTTGTCTTGTCTTTTCTTTTTTATTCTCCTTCTTTTGCATCAACTTGCAAGATCACTTCTTCATGACGGATTGTATAGAA